GTCATGCCATGCACTTTTTCTGCATGTTTACATACACAAGCACTGCACACGCAACATTCACGGGCATAACATTCACTTACACACTCTTCATTCTTGTGACAAGAGCAGTGGACATTTTCTCTGCTTTTCCAACCATTACATAAAGAAAAGGGGTGATCTGATTTCTCTCAAGGACTTCTTAGTATAGTTTAGTTTAGTAAGGTTTTACGGCGCTCGCAACTGCATAAGGACTTCTCCCTTAACACTTACATCAGAAGGGTAGCGAAAGCTGGGCATACATTTTACATTTTGTTTGCTTTTCAGTTTGTTTGTTTGGTTTTTTTTAGGAAATGTAGTGTCATCATGCTGACTCAAAAAATACAAATAAAGAAAGAGCAGCCATGACCCTATTTCCTCAAGACGTTATTTCTTGCCCATAAGGTAATTGTGAAAAGAAGGAAACGACTAGACCTAAAGGAGTCACGAAAGGCATGCAAGTCTTGGACAGAAGACTACCGTTGGGAGAAAAATCATCGAAAACCCTTTTAATGTAAGGGGTGGAGATCATCTTTACAGACAGAACAAACAAAATCCCTCTCTCTCTCTCGGTATTCACAACATATTTCGCTGATGATTATAAACACTATGACTAATGGTGGGGGGGAAGACACACGACTTCTTCTGCACATCACAATATTTGTTCTTCTAAGTCTTCTTACTGTACACACAAAAAGACAACTGAACAGGGAGGCCATGAAACAAAGTGAAAGGATGATCCGAAGTGTACAAATGCTTTAACTGCTTTCCTTCACACTTACTTACATACACCTGAAGGAAATTAGCAGTCAAATTTACAGACAAGGTGACGTTCCATCGAGAAAATATTGCCAAGAAAATGAACAGTTCACACAGCACAGGCTGCAAGCACCTGGCAAGTCCTGTCAGTAATTAATCACAGGAACTTCTGGAGAGACATTTTTTCCATTTAAAATACAATGACAACTCTTCTTAGCTCTCAGTGGGATTTCCACGTTGACCAACTTCTGAATCTCGTAAGTCCAATCTTTTTGATTTCACCATTTGTTGTTGTACCCATTCCGTTTCTGTGTCCACACATCCCAAGAACCAAGCAAGCTTCTTGTTTTACTGAGAGAGTTGCCGACACCATGAACCAAGCAAGCTTCTTGTTTTAGTGAGAGTGTCGCCGACACCATGAACCAAGCTTCTTGTTTTAGTGAGAGTGTTGCCGACACCATGAACCAAGCAAGCTTCTTGTTTTATTGAGAGAGTGTCGCCGACCTCATGAAAGACCAAACTTCTTGTTTTGAAAGTGTCGACGACTTTGGACAAGAGACCACAACAAGTACCAAAACATTCAACATTGCCGAGTTAGATCTACCGCTGACATAAACCACTAAACAGTAGTATTTATAACAATTTTTTCCAATAAAACATAACAAAAAGTGTACATCTACAATGGAGTTTGAGTCCGCTTACGCCAAAATCTGCTGGACGGCCAAGTTTTCTTCTGTTCACATCAGAGAGATTGCTCGACGAGTGAAGAAAAACAAAATCAGGGATTTTCATTTCTTTTTCTTCACCACTGTTTTCAGATCAACAATGTTTGGTCTCAACGGACTTCACAGGAAGTGTTTTTCTGCCCCTCCCCATCAACACAATTGAGATTATCTAGAATAGGGGTCAACTGTGGCTGAGAGGGAACTACAACATCCCAGCAGAAAGATTAAGATACTCCATTAACTCTTTCACTACCATTTGAAGGTAACACGAGCCGTGAATTATAGCTTGTTGTTTCACGGCTCGTATTATCCCCAAAAGCTGGACCGCGAGCTATAATTCCCGGCTCGTGTCACCCCCAAAAGCTGGACCGCGAGCTATAATTCCCGGCTCGTGTTACCCCCAAAAGCTGGACCGCGAGCTATAATTCCCGGCTCGTGTCCCCCCCAAAAGCTGGACCGCGAGCTATAATTCACGGCTCTCCACTCCCAGCTTCAAAACCTCACCTACTTTTGTAATAACAAATCTGAAATCTTAGGCTGAAGAACGACAGGTCGTTATTTCCCCTTTATTTCCATCATATATATAATACATGTGGCTGATATTGAAAATTGAACTTAAAAATCTTTAATTTGTCCAAGGGTAGGCAGAAGAATCAGAAAGTAGGTCACAGATGGGGCCCGGTCCAGCAGAGGAAACCCCCCTGGTAGTGAAAGAGTTAAAATTCCCCCCACTGAAGGATCAAACTCAGGTGCTCTTTGAGTACTGACAAAGTGCCTAACCACTACATCGCAGATGCGACTCATCATAGGTGCTCTGCTTTTTGACAAATCATGGACATTACGAGAAAAATTACCACCAAAAAAAAAACAAAAAAAACCAAACCAAAACCCACAGTGATCTGGACTCCCACGGTCATGCACATTCTAATGAGATGTATTCTACACGTATGCCTATGTAATAAGAGTAAAGGCAGTCTTTAAAAAATTAAACAACATCAAAACAATAAAAGGATGATTAAATCCAAATGCACTAAATAAAAGGCAACCTCAAAGATGACTTTAACGCATCAAATTCAAAAGTCTCAAAGTATTAGTAATAGAACTGATCAAATTAAAAAGTCTCAAAGTATTAGTAATAGAACTGAAGAGATTTCAACTAGAACAAAAGCATTCATACATATATGTATGCATCCAATTGGATGAAAGGACGTGTTGATGTGGTTACAATTGGTCGCTTTTAAGCACAGGCAGGCTATCCTGAAAAATGCCGTTTTGAGAAAATCGAAGTTATGATTTTTGGATTCTCGTTCAGTCTCTTTACAAGACAAAGAGAGCTTTCTCTATAACTAAACAAATATACACACAACACACCAATGAAACCAAGCTTTCCCTATAGGTAGGGCAATGCTCACTTTTGGTGTAGGTCAAGATTTCTGGAAACCCCCGAAATCTGGGTAAGCCCGCTTGTCCTTAAAAGCGACCAATCACAATGGCAAGAAAACGTAACTCTCTCAAGTACATGGCTGTGTTACTGCACATAACTGAAAGATTTTGGAAACCTATTTTCATCTAGTACCGAGTACGAATAATACTACTTGCACCCAAAACTTGTTACGTTTACGGGAATCAAAGATATGTCACATTATACGTAACATCGGCAAGACTAATGGAGATCTGCCGTTCCTTTCACGCTACTGACTAGTCCAAGCGACATTATCTCCCCTGAGGAATGTGATTATAACTGTTCAAACTTCATCAGTTCCCAGAGAACATTGTGTCTTACAAATCATCCGTTCTTGTTACTTGTGGCCTTCACATTAGCTGTCCGTCTGTACTTCTCATTTGTGGAATGAAAATCATTTGTCTAACACGCACACATGGGGATATTGCTGGCACATGGAAATCTTTCCGTTAAGTACGAATTTCGCTGTGTATCCATTTTTAATCCAAAGACTATAAAACGTTAAAAAAAAAGAATTCTGGATCTGAAAAATTGGTTCACTAGGTGCTTGTTTCACTATATATACAAGTGCCTGCTGAGTACAGGCTAGAGAGTACGTGCTTTAAGAAAAAACTCTTCATGCTTTTACTACTACTACTACAATCTTCCAGTTTTCTTCAACAGTAGCACAGCTCTAGTATAACAGCCCAATAAACACAATACGTGATAAAGAAACAGCACCTCCAGATCCCTCTTTTTCTGACACGACGAGCGTCAAGAGAGAAGAGAGCCCTGAAAACTTTACAAACAAGAAAAATTCAAGACCACCCGTTGGGGACTTGAACTGAGGTAATCCACATAGAATCCAAGCAACAGAAACGACGGCCCATCATGAACGTTTTCCAGATTCCAGATGCTTTTTTTCTCGATCGATAAATTTTGATTTAGAGATTTAGACTTAACTATACAGTGGGTGTCGCATTCAATGAGGTCGGATCCAACGAGGACAACAAGCCGGTCCCGGCAACCTCGTTGAATGTGACACCCATTGTATTACATTACGCTTCCCACCTATAGGGCTCATAAACATGAACCTCTCCAGTGGAAATTGAGAAAAATTGAGACATAAAAATGAAATTAAAATTATAGTATATACTTTGCTGGAAAATAATTTCCTAGCTCATGTCTGTTCAGTCAATTTGAAGACGCCTTGTTAGGTGCAAACAGTTCAGTTAAAAAAAACATTTTCTTCCTTTAATGAAACCCACTAAACTGTGAACTTAACAAGTTTTAATATACAGAAGTAATGCCAAGCACTAAATTTTCCCCAACAAATTGTGAAATCAAATTGCTCTAAATCTCGAGTAGTCTTGGTTACTTCACTGTGAGCATCATCACTAGTGTGTACTTACAAGACATCTAAACCCCCCCCCCCCCAAAAAAAAAAAACCCCACTATTTTTCCCACTGTTGGAACACACTGGATCATGGTATTCAGAAACGTTTCATTTTTAAAAAATATTTAAAAAAGAATGATGCAGCCATACTTGTACAACCAAGGCCTTCCAAACGCTGGTGAACTGTATCGAGAATATGAGTGTAAAGGCAGGCATTGAGATCGCATCACCAGAACTTTCACAGACAAAGAAAACCAACTTTCTGTTACTCTTTTGACAAACAGTACAAAGACTTTGGACAAGGAGTAATAAGTATCAGCTGTATACGTCAGTCAACGAATGAAATCTTCCTTTTAGTTTTAGTAAGAGTTTTACAGGGCACTTGCAACACAATAAGGTCATATAGGTGCCGAAGATTAGAGGTGTTACAAGAGAGTAACAAACACAATAAGGTCATATAGGTGCCGAAGATTAGAGGTGTTACAAGAGAGTAACAAACACAAAAAAGGAAGAAGGGGAGATAAAGACGATAGACGTTTGACAGGAAAGAAAAAGCAAGCAAACAACACCAGAGCACCCGCAAACCACCAACTGAAATCTTCCTGATACGTAAAGTAGTAACTGCAATGATACAAGGGCACACAGCAGATGCGAGATACACATATTTTTTTTGTTGTTGCAAAAACTTTCAACACTAAAACACATTCACACACACTCTGAACACAGACTAGTCAACTCAAACACAGTCCAGCTAGGAAAAAGACAAAAGAGTATCAATGCTAGGCTCTATCACATAAATAATGAAACCAGTGAGAGATACATGAAACAATATCATATTATTAAATACCAAAGGAATAATCAAACTCAGCATGCAAGACCTTATGAATTCCAACGAAACTTTTCAAGGCAGAAAACAAAAGTGTCAAAGCAGCACTCTTATCCACTGATTGGATGAAAATCGTGGTCACCAAAGAAGTGGGATATATAAAAACCAAACACACTAAACTTTTTTTCCACAGCATTTAGTATTACTGGGGAACTGCAGCCGCTAGTAGCATACGGTGGACTTGTTCGTTGCACTAACCAAACAAAAAAAACCCAACAAACCAGGCCCCCCCCACACAAAACAAACCACTAATACTAACATACGAAACATCCTCACAAATATCATATCTCTCAATAATGCCACAATATGCTGACACTAGCTAAAAAAAAAAACCCAAGAAGAATTCATGTTGACGCTTACACTTGAAAACGAAATGATGATGGATGCTTGATTTTGCTCTGACCACAAAGGAGACGACATCGTACAAACACACTCAAAATAATGAATCCACATACTTCATATATTCCAGCACACACCTCTATTTTGCTTCATTTTTTAAAAAAATCTTCACGCTCCCAATTGTACATCATCAACAGTCACAAAGAAAATGCAGATTGTAAGTCATGCAGTGAAACTTCACTAATATGTAATGCCTACACACCCAAAAATGCACGGGGAAAGAAAAAAAAAGTAAGAAAGAAATACACCTAAAAATCAACAAAACAAACAAACAAACAAACAGTGTATACACAACTTTTGTCCAGTCACTTTCAGTCGCAGCTCACATCACTGTCAAAGTCTTCTGAGAATTCTGACTCCTCGTCCCCCAGCTCCTCCTCGTCCAAGAACTCGTCTTCCTCGTCATCGCTCACCATCTGAAGCATAGGGTTGCTGATGATAGCACCACCTTTTTTGAAGTATTTCTTTTCTGCCAGAACAACCTGAAGGTGAACAAAAATGATGCTCAACTCAAATTTCATCTTAGTAATTGAAAATAACTCATTCAAAAGACTTGTATCTCGCCTTTAAAATTATCCAAATACTGTAAATGGGCGCTGAAAACATTTGCAATCAATCAAAGACCTGTTTGAATCCAAATCCTTCAAATTACAGAGACCAGGTTCATGTTAATGACATGAGTAGTTATATTGTTGCGGGTTCGAGGGTTCAAACCGCCGGCCCAGGGTTATGTCCTTGGAAAAGGCACTTTACATGAATTTTCCTCACTTCACCCAGGTAAGAATGGGTACCTGGCCATAGACAACGAAAGATCTTGTCAGTATGTTAGTGTTTTAGCACTTACAAATGGCTGCTTCCACTGTATGCTTTCCAGGAAGTTGAGTTTGTTTCAGAAAGCTCTCACGTCTGCTGTAGTAATAGTATAGATTGTGAAGCTTGCTGTTGGGCTGGGATTTGCGCTGTACAAATGCTATCTAACATTATATCCATGCTCTCTAATCACAACACTTAACATAGGTAAAGTATTCTCAAAAGATTGTACTCCTTTTCTAGCTGACCTGGAGACCAAACAAAACAACTTAATACTTGATCAAGGATATTCAACTGAGATGACTTTTGCCCACCTTTTTCTGGTGGAAAAAAAGGGGGTAAATGCGAAAGTATTCTGAAACATAACCCCAACAAATTTCATCAAGGCTCTTTTTAGTTTAGTTTTAGTAGAGTTTTTACGGCGCTCGCAACTGCATAAGGTCATATGAGCGCCAAGGGGTGGATGAGGATGTCAACAGATAAGTCCTTACAGGGAATCAGGCTTACATTGCTTACCTCTCTAGCCTCAATAGCACAAAGTCTGCTTCGACTATCAAGGCACCCCGGAAATAGCGGGTCACAAGAGAGTGACAAACATACAAAAGAAGTTGAGGAAAATGACGATAGTAAGGATTGGGAAAGAAAAAGCAGCAGTTCCCTGTTGTAGTTCAGGCACAGTTATGAGCATGACATTGTTGGATCAGCCCATTTACAATTCTACAGTGCATTAGAACGAGAAATGTCCCCCCCGTTGGGAATGGCCTATAGACACTTCAACCAGTGTCACTTTCCCAGGGGGTAAAATTCAATTTTGGCTCTTTTAATTTCATTCTTTTTTTTCGCAGACAATAATAACATAAAACTCAAAAACAGTAAAACAGCAAAAAGCGTAGAGATTATCAACAATCATTCTGACCTTCTTGTCAATTCTTGAGGACTCCATTTTGAACTGGCAGACGAGGGGATATATGTGCTCTATGGCTAATTGCACATTCAAAACACATGGCGCTGAAATTTTAAAAAAGAAAACAAATTTATAGAATAGCGGAAAAAAACATAGAAGCTGCACAATCAGCTAACAAGTAATTTTATTTCACTTGTGAAACCACAAATCTGGGAAGGGCACAACAGCTGATTTATAAAATGACAGAACAAAGACAGACCTAAAATTGAGACAATTCAAAGGTTCGTTTGTGTGCTTGCTTCTCATCATAGAAGAGAGATGGAGAGGCACACATGAGATAGAAAGAGAGACACGCATAAGAGAGAAAGAGAGACACGCATAAGAGAGAAAGAAAGACACGCATAAGAGAGAAAGAGAGACACATATGAGAGAGAGAGAGGGAGACACATAAGAGAGAAAGAGAGACACACATAAGAGAGAGA